ATGTTTTTTAAGCAACAAGTTTTTTCAGTATCATGTCTTTCTGGTATCATGGTTGAATCTGTGTTTTTTCAACTTTTGAAAGCATTTTTTTTTGTTAATTTCAAAAACATGTTGTAGGAGCAGAATGATTCAAATGGAAACAGGGAGTTTCTTTTTCGATATGGAAGCAGGGAGCTTTCTTGCAAATTTCAATTTTAAGGTTGGGCTTTGAGCTCAGCCCGGCCTCAGAGCCTTAGACCCAAGTTATAGGCCCAATGATTGAACTGGGCTAATTGGTTGTGTTCTTCATTTTTTTTTTCTTTATTAACAAAAAAAGGGAGTATTGGGAAGTAATGGGTTGTTTTAACCTTAAACTCGTGTTAGAGGCCATTCACATATTTTGTGACCGTGGTCGTAGCAATCCTTTATGATGCACCAATGAGGCATGGTTGCAGCACTCCCTCGCAACTACTCCCAAATGAAAAAGGGGGCATACTAGCAATAGAAATTAAAAAGCAATTCACATTTTATTTTGAATTTATCCATATTGGGGCTCATCATCTTCTTCAAGCTTAAAAATGTAGATATAGATTTTGTTTGATTCGTAATAGATCTATCAACCAAAAGTCGATGTGCCAAAAAGGCACGAGAAGCCCATTTTGGGAAACTTCAAATGAAGTTTTTCGCGTTTTTCTCACTTTATTCTCGCACAAAAAGACATGAAAAGATGCATGGTAGTCAAATTAGTTTCAGACTGTTCAAATCTTCATACAAAATCTCAATGCGTCTTTTAACCATCGGAACTACCAGAAGATGTTCCCAAAAAGACTTACCAAACAACCCCAAAGATGCCATGGTATTAATTTTGTCACCCCTCAAGCATCCTGTTGAAGGATTACCCTACTTGCAACATCTCATCCCTTTGAAGGATCGCCATTGGTAAACATTTAAATAGTTGAGAATGGGAATGCTAAGTTGCTAACCCATGTGAAGTCATAATTTAAACGCAATTGGTGCTTAGCCAAAAGGAATCAAGGAAAACCAGGTAAAATTTGATGAACTGGATGAAGAATTGCTGGTTTTGTTGCAGGTTCTGAAACTGAAAAGAGGAGAAACTTTCATTTCTGCCTGGTTTAAAAACAAAGCCAGGTAAAATCAGGTAGGGTGGTTATACTGGACACAGCTCTGAATGATGAGATTAATAGAAATGACAAGTGGGTTGCAATAGAAATGATTACACTGGGTTCTAGTTGGATTGGACCAAGGTTGTGTTCAGTGTTGGGCTCCTTGCGGCCTTTAATTCAAGTCCAATCAAAACTATGGTCTATGGGTAAGCTTGGGCTTCCAAGCTCAGCCCCGGATCAAATCCTAAAAAATTAATCCCTCTAGAGCCAGGTTCGGGTTTGGGCCACCGAAGTTGCAGCTTTTAGATGAAACTATACCAGCCGAGCCTTTCAGCAAAATGAAATTAAAACAAGTATTAAATGAGCCTATTCTAGCAAACAGGTACCTAGCTAATTAAGCATCCTCAGAGGTGCAGACAAGGTAAATTATATATATACTTATACCCCCATGTGGATTTTTCAAATACTTATATACCATCCTTTGGGTTTACTTGGCTACCAAACTGCAAGGGGTTTGTTAATGGAAGAGCTGGAATAAAGATGAAAATAGGCCTTATACTAAACAAAGGGGATTTCTTACTCACTTTTCCTACCCACCGTGAATTGCAACCACACATTTCTATTATGAATTGAGAGATGTGTGGCTGCAATTCAAGACGGGTAGAGAGTGGGTAGGAAATGTGGGTTCAGTGCTCTTAATCATAAGAGCATAACTTATGCCTCTAAAATATATAGGGTAAATTGCTGAAACTTCCCTTGAAGTTTCTAGTTGTTGCTGAAACCTCCCTTAAAGTTTGGTAATTGCGATCAGTTTCCCTGAACTCTCAGACATAATTTGCAAGTAAATCCCCTTGTTAGAATCCTCTAAAGAGAGGCATGAAAATGTCAAGAATACCTATGCAGTTACTTCGACCAAAGTGTTTATCTTCCATGTTTTCTCTACATATGAATCGTTACCCCTAACCCTTCTAATCTCTTTTGCGAAATTGATTTATTTTTCAAAATTGCCCTTTATATCAATCCTCCAAAGGTAAAGGTGAAACTTTAAATTCTCTTTGTTTTTTTGGTTTTCATAAAGTTTGAATTGTTTTTTTCTGTAGAAATTAATCAGCCTCAATAGTAACTACATGGATATTTTTGAATATTTTCATGCCTCTTTTTACAGGATTCTAATAGAGAAGGTCTACTTGCAACTGTCATAAAATTCAGGGGAGGTGATTGCAATTACACAACTTTAGGGAGGTTTTAGCAATGGTCGAAAACTTTAGGGCAGGTTTTAGCAATTTATCTAAATATATATATATATATATATATATATATATATTCTAAAATTAATAAAAGATCCTCATTTATAAACATTAAATACAGAATGACCATCTCAATTTTTTTTTATAATTTCATTTTGTTTTTTCCTTAAATCATTCTCAACTTTTAATTCCCACTTATTAATGCTATAGCCGGAAAAGTTTGTCCTTTCAAAAATTACAAATGAGGGTATTTTTATCCATATAACTATACGCAATAAGTGCCAAAATAAGGTTAATTAAATTAGATTTCTAAAAAGTTTCAAACATCAGCTGACGTTGAGCACTAAAAGATAGATAGTAGAATTATATAGGAGGGACAGAACAGCGGTAAATCAATAGGTAACCTAAGGGAGATTCAATTCGTAGTAATTAAGATGACAGGAGCATCAGAAAATTAAGATGATAAAGTTTAGAGTCTTGTTTATTGCATGATCGATCATTTCAATAAGATCTCCATGAAGGCTTGACATAGAGCTTTTAGGGTTTCGATAATTCTATCTTCTTTTGTTTAAAGCAACAAAATTTCTTTATTAATAATCATTAAAGGAGCCTGGGAAGGGGGGAAGGGGACTCTAGTCAATATCTATTTCATAAAAACTAACCTTTATTTGGTTTTGATAATTAATTCTATCCAAAGAGGATAATTAGGGAGAAAAGTAAACAGAATAAATAGAGTAAAACTAAAAGCAAAGCCTAGGAACTAATCTAAACAAAAGATAGGAGAACTAATATCTTGTTTCTGGTAAGCAACATTAATTAATAAGTCATTAATCCATATCACAGAAATAAATTAAGTCATATAAGGAAAGCTTCATGCTTGAAAGAATTAAGACACCCTTTTCCTCCTAGATCAGAACAAATTCCCTAAGGCATTAATATAAGTGACGACACTTGAGAGAGTAAAATGCCCTTTTTTTTTTTTTAATTCAAAGCATATAATGAGTTTATTGTGCTACAAGAATTAGATGTTTGTAAAAGATACATGACATAGATACTATATATGCTTCTCTCCTTTCATTTCTCTCTAGGGTGTTTTTTTAGTTTCAATCGTATGGGAGCGCAATGGATTTGAATTCCACAGACGACACAATAATTGAGGGTTTTGTTGCCGAATTTCTCCTAATTCCATGACCTGAAAATGTTAGACAATCCCTTGATATTTACATCATTTAACTTCATTAATTGCATGTATATTTGAAAAGTCCAGAGGTTAAGTAATGAAGACACGTCATGCATTTATCTTAAAACATTGAATAATCCATATGTCACAGTGATGAAAAGATCATCAAGTTTTAACTCTCTAACCCTCAATCAAACCTTATCATCAATTTTTCATTAAGGATTGTTGTGCACCAAACCACCCAGCATGCATGCAAACCTCTTGTATCAAAGTCAAAACAAGGGTCTTAGCTAGGCTGTTTTTTTTTTTTTTTCTCCACTTTTCTTCTTTATTTTGAAATCATAAACAAAAAGAACATTTAATGGGTGCTTGTAAGCATTAATTAACATTTGCATTGTGTAGTTGCGTGTCGAATCCTGATTATTGGTGGTTCTATAATTCAAAAACAGAATTCGTTCTCTGAAATTAAAGAGGAGCAGAAGGTGAGTTACAAGTATTATTGCTGAACCATCACTTCATTCTTGATGAACAACTTTTTATATATTCAAATCTGTTAGCATATATCACAGTAAGGAGATGGAAATTCTCGATATGACACAGTTCCGATTTTTTTTCCCTCTTGGACCACATCTAGGGCACTCCACATTCATCTTGATTTTGGGTTAATTAGTGTGCTCAAGTTTCTGCATGGAATTTCTCAATCCAACCCATGCCAATCTTGGGTGGTGATGTGTACCCAATAAAAACCCTAAAACTCTTGGAATGCTTTAAATCATGATCGAGCTGGTTAATTAATTAACCTCCAGGACTATAACATATATAATGGCAAAATGGTTTGAACATTGTTGGGGTGTATAGCAGCAATACTGAGTACTGTTATGTTGTGTCCCATTTTCACAGTTAACGTGGATCTCTCTGCATCTGTGCTGTACCGAGTCTGTAACCTACAGGCATATTGTTGGCTTTGCTTGGAATCGACTGAACCAGGGGTGGTTCTTGGTGCCATGACATTAGTAATTAAGTTTCAAGGAAACGAAAATTACTCTGTGACAGGTGGTCACTACACATTTGATGCGTTGGATTTCTTAGTATTTATTTTGGTAATCTCCTCTTTAATAAACAAACCTCCATAATTGTTCAACAAGTGTTCCATAGCCATTTACAGTTAAATAAACCATCTTGTTTACTTCATTGTTTCATTCTCTTCAAACATAAAATTCTCTACTGTGAGAGATATATAACAGAAAAAAATATCAAGAGATGTAAACAGATGGAAGACACTGATGAACAAATGAAAAGAGTTCTTATTCCATTTCAAGACCATTATTTTGAAACAAGGGGAGCCAGAAGAGAAAACAGTCACACAGAATTCTGGGCTCACATCAACATAATAAAACCACTAAGTTCTAATGATAAAAAAAAAAAAAAATTACTTTCAAGGCTCCTACTGACATATATAGTAGGTAGGTCTTAGAGCCTCAATGTTAAATCCAGGTCAATAGATTTGGAGCCTGATCTCTTCCCACCTGTTCCATAATCACTAGGGCCAGCAGCTTGTTGAGAAGAATTATTTCCAGGTTGCTGATGATCCTGCCATGACCTAGACCCTTGCCAAGCCATGATGAGCTCAGTTGGCACTGCTGGTGGTGCAAGAGTAAGTTCAGTCTCCCTTAGGTTGAAGTGTTGGGTGGCTGCATGATCCCTTCTCAGTGCCTCAATTTCACGCCTATGAGCATTTTGATGCCCACCAAGTGCTTGTGAGGTCCGGAAGACTTTGGAGCAAAAGCTACACTTATAGAGCCGGTTGTCCCCCTGAGTTCTGACTGCTGCTAAGGAGGCATTGAGGGATGAGCCCTGAATTTGGTTTGCTTGGCCATAGTAACTCATGTCGAAGGTTAAAGAAACTACACACTGGGAAAATGAAAGTGGTTAAATATTAGAAAACCCCCAAAAAAGAGAAAGCAAATAGCAGCAAACAAGAGGAACCTCACTCAGGTGAAGGCGAACTGAAGTAGAGGTTGTAAGGGAAAGAAAGGGTATTTATAGAAGGGAGAAGGGAACTCATGAGCCGTTTGGTTTTATGGCTTTTGGTTTTCCACAGCTGTTTACGGGATTTTTTCTTTTCTTTTTCTAGATATGTAATCTCATATTAATAAAGGGATATAGCTTATATTAAGACATGTTTCAGCCTTTGCTTGCGGCATTCATTGAAAATTTTGACGTAAATAGAAACTATGGGCTTGCATAATTTGCCCACCCTAAAGCGGAAATTTTATTAATTTAATGCTTCAAAGCAAAGCAGAACTCGGACAAGAAGTATTTCAATGTGATTTTGCGAAGCACTTTTACCATTGAGCCAAAACTGCTTTAAAAGTAAAACATGTTTGATGATGACCCAGGGGACTCACTTTGACCAAAGATATCTCTAGTTATTGGACTTTGGCCACATCCCTTTTTATAGACACCTGATATATCCCAAGTGAAAGGACATGGAAGCCCTTGTTAATGATAAGAATTAAGCATCGATACATTAGGATGAATTTTTCTTTTGACTTATGATTAATGATTAGGAGTATACCCTCTTTATCAAAAATGGGATGTGCCCATATCACTCCCCTGTGATTTTTTTTTCTCTGTTTCTATAGCTAGGAAATGGCCATATAATATATGAATCAGCTTCTTTTAAACAATATTGAGGCATAATTTCGTCAAGATAAAACTTATAGACAAGGATTGAGATAAATCCGGAAAATGCAACTAAAAACTTTCCTATACGAGCCAATTTAATGAAAGAACAAAAACCAAAAGAAATTGTTATATTGCTAAAAAATGTTATTCAAGCAGTTATTTTGAATATCATCATCATCGTTCATGCCTTATTCCAACTATATAGGGTTGGATAGATGAATCCTGTTTTGTCAATTCATTTTATTTAAACCCATATCCACTATTAAATTATTAGAAAACCAATTCTCACTTTTAAGAATATGTCCAATTATAATTACCCCGCAAATTTTGTTGAATTCTCACCTTAGCATAAAAGCCTAGACATAGGAGATTCCAATCCATGCTTTATTTAGGCTTCCAAAGAGAAGGCAAATTCTTACTTTTCTTAAAAGCATATTTTTCAATCTTCAAACTTCAAAACATTAAGGCTATGATTGTTTTGAAGGAAAATGTAGGGAAAAGAAGGGAAAGACAGGGAAATCAGTACAAGGTTTGTAAAGGTTTCCCTACCTTTCCCTTACTTTCCCTACATTTTCCTTCAAACCAAACATAGCCTAAGAGAAAAACTTTCAAGTAAAATGAAGCTCAATATTCTTTATAAAGAACTATAAATAGAGTAGCACCTTTGGCGACATAGGGTTGAGTATTTATTAAATTTTAAAAGGATTGAGACCTGACGTAGTCGAAAAACTAAAATCTTTAAATTGAGTACCCAAGTTGCACCTTTGAAGACATTGGGTTGAGCATTTATTAAATTTTAAAAAGATCGAGACCTGATGTAGTCGAAAAACTAAAATCTTCAAATTGGGTACCCAAGTTGCACCTCTATTTACCTTCAGGCTCAAAGAGAGAAACAAAAAGTTGATGGAATGTTCCTAAGGAATCTTGGAATTATTATTTAAGAACTTTCCTCTTCAACTTTCCAAAGGCCATTATCCAATGTTGGTCTATCTATAGGAGTTTTGGGAGTGGTAGACTGGATATACTTAACCTTTGACAATTATTTTCACAAAGTGGCCTTTCTCAAACTCAAGCCCTGTGTTCTCATGCTTGCCAGCCCAAAGATTTTACCATTCCTTCAACTTTGTTTCTTTCTTATTTTATATGAAATGAACATAGCCTTGGGTATAAAATAAATGCTGCTTTTCAGAGTAAAATATACAAGTTATGAATGATTGGTAGTCTCAAGAGCAGCTTTGCAAAGAAAGAACCAAAGACATTGTCTTTCAAAAGCAATGGTTTTATTTTCAAAAGTAGAAAAGTAACTTTTTAGAAGAAGGAAGCCTTGATTGGGTAGACTTTGAGTCAACCTTTCTATATATAACTTCAATATGCTCTTTTATTTGTAGAAAGAAAATATATGGCATTTATGGAACATATCTTTTTAGATTACCACAACCAGATAATTAAGCTCAAATCTTTCTTCTGATGAGCATTGTTTTGCGTCCAAGATTCTTTCAATTTGCTGGTTTTCCGAATCTGTTAGTGTTTTCCACATTTCTGATAGAAGATTGTTCTCACTGTCACTGGTTTATCTTTTCTCTCTTTGGCTGTCTTTATGATCAGATTCATGGATGGTTCCCCATAGGTTTTCTTGGGGCGTGATTGATCAGAACTGAGGAACCATGATTTTGTTTTCCTGAATAAGGAACATATATAACTGGGGATAACTTTTTTTTCTTAAACCCCATAGGCTGATTCCATTATTCATCAATTCATGAAAGCTACATCTTCCTCAAATGTAACAAATTAATACAAATTCAATGAAAGGAAGGGACCATAATTGAAGAAACCTCTCTAATTACTTCTTTTCATCTGAATGAGTTTCATAAAAACCAGAGGTTTTTTCCTTTTCTTTTTTATTTTTTCAGAAATCAAAAGTTAATTAACTGGGGGAGGGGTGTTTGATAGGTCAAACCTCTTCCGGTATCATGTATTTCCCGCATCATGGATTTACCCTGAAAAGTTTGGCAGGACTTGGGTGCAAGCAGAAGTTTCCACGTGAAATCTAACCCTGAATACCCGAACTCCATACCCACTAAAATTCCTATTACTAATGTAGTTACTCAAGCATTAATTAAAACTTACACATTTCCCTCAAATACTGAAACCTTCTTTTGTCTTCATTAAATAAGTCTTCATCATGTGACATTTATGGCTTTTAATAGTTAATTTTATCTTTTTTGATATATTTTTGTATATTAGTGTAGAGCACGTATTATACACATTTATAAGTAAATGCAAAGATATAAGTTAATAATATGTTATTAAATTTAACTTTTATAACCTGCATTAAATATAGGGAAAGTATAGGCTTTTTAATAATATTAGATTACATGCATAAACAAAAATGCTCTTATTTATACTTCTTAAAGGGACAAATTGACCAACTTTCCTTACTTTAGCATCAAGGTCAGAGTTAGACCTGTTCATGGGCCAAGCTTGGGCTTGGCATTTGCCAAAATTTGAATGAGCCTGGCTGAAAGCCCAAGCTCAAGATAGTGTAAACAGGTCTAGTCAGAGTAAGAAGTTGAAAGTGGGTTTAGGAAATAAAATAAATATTTGGGATGATAAACTGTATTTCATGATTATAAATGAGGACATTCCATCAATTTTAAAATAAATTTTGGAGGAAAGTTCATGCTTTTATTGTTAAGATATTTTTTTAAGTGTTAAGAGCATTTTGGTAAAATATCTATTGAATTATATGTGTTAATTCCATTTCTTCCAAAAAAAAAAACCATATACCTTTGTCTTTGTGTTAAAAAAAGAGTACAAGTTATTAGAGAAAACTGAGGGTTTGTACAAGTATTTGACTGAAAGAGAATATAGATGGTATTCCCTGTTTTGAAGAAGGAAAAAAAATTAAGGGTCCGTTTGGTTCGTAATTGGAATCGGAATCGAAATCCTCTAGAATTAGAATTGGAATGGTCTATTTTTATAGTCTATTTGGTTCAGACAAGAATCTGAATGGGAATTAAAATCAACAGGAATGAGATTTCATTCCCAAGGGAGGGGCAGGGAATGGCCATTTCCTCAAATGGGAGAATGCCATTCCAGCAGAAATGAAAATGAGATTCAGATTCTGCCCAACTAAACAGTTGGAATCAGAATAACACATTCCGATTCCGATTCCAGACCCCTATTCCTGCAAACCAAAACAGACCCTAAAAGTTCATTGATGATAGAGGGCTCATGCTTGAAAGGATATAATTATATAAAGCCGGCAGGTGGAAGATGGAGGACATTTGGATAGAGGATAAAGAATCATGATATTGCAAATTGTTAGCTAGAAAAGAATGCAAGGTGCCAATTGGGCAGTTGGTACTCCTAGAAAGAGCATAAGAGCCGAAACATGGGCTACCGGGTTCTGGGCCCGACTAGCAAAGGTGAGAGCTTGAATTCCTAGGGACGAGGACTCTCCCGTTTACAACCAGAGATAGACAATTGACAGCTTCAACTTCAAGGGGGTGGTTCATGGTTGGCTGATGGGCGGGTGTTCTGTTCTCCATCCATGATCGATCTGAGCCCATACAGCCTCTAATCTGACTCGACCCACATGGGGAATCCAAGGACCTGAGCCCATTTGGTAACCATGCATGTTGATATGGTTCCCAAGTTAGTTCTGCACCAAAGGGGGTCCGAACACAGCTCTTTCACCTCTACACCTGCTTAGATCGATCAAGGGGCTGTTGAGGATGCTCCCCCAAGAGACAAGTAGAGATCTTCTGCCAACAAAACACCTTCCATCCCCCTTTCCAACTTGATCTAACACCGCATATCTCACTATGGATGGTTTGGATCACTACCAGGATTCATGCAACAGAACAGGATAACACACTAAATTTGAAAGATTTTTCCACACAATTGATCACTTGAGTGAGAATGCCACAGTGACTGGTGGGTATCAGGCAGGTGAACAATAGCAATTTTGAACATTTCATGGAGCTGAAAATAAATACAGATCGAACCTGCAGTGATTAATTAAGTTGGATCAAGTCAATATATGCATGCATATATGGTGAGTAAAATTCAATCTGCAAATAATAAAATGGGATATTTTGGAACCAGCTCATTCAACCAAACAAACTTAAAATCTAATAGAAAAACTTAAAATTGAAACCCTGGCATTTGAAGATATGCTTTTGCAAATGTTTTGG